TTATTCTAAATAATAGCAAATTTATCTCCATTGTTTCGTTTGGAATATCGAGTTCGGGTGTTTTATTTCTTCGGTCTGCAAGATGCGAGGTTCGAAGGAAATTGGATTGGTCGAAACGTCCTGTGGCATTTTTTTCCGGAAAATTTCAATGTTCCTCTTAATTAAATTACATTTGATTAGACAAATTTAGTGGACAAGGTATTTGTTTATGGAAATTTGTGATAATAATGTTTAACGATGTTTATCGATGTGGTGGAAAGATCGAAAGATTTATACAAACTGGATTACGAGCAACAACAATCTGTTTTATCTCGAAACTCGTATATTCATTGTTTTCAATGAACCAACTCAATAACTATGAAGTGTAATGTCAGTCCATTTATTCGTATCAGAGCGTTCAGTGTATAACTCTCTTTGAAGGATAGATCGGTGATCAAATGGTTTGATGGGTATATATAGCCCCTCAATGGCCTTGAACAAGCAATTTGTCTCCATTGTGGTGGAACACAGGCCAGATATTGTCAAATAACATCTCTCGATCATCGAGTTTCCACTCAAATATCCAAACACTGGTCTAATAGAGTGCGGCTACCGCGAGTATTTAACATGCACCAGAGAGATATAGAAAATATCAATTTGAACGCGCTTCAGTGGGTTGTTTAAACCAATTTCATTCGATCAACGCTTTTGTCGCAATAATTGGGCTGCATTTCAAATTTTGTTTTTAATTCGCTCGTACCACGACAGTTTATTGTTTCGAACAATGGGAATTTTATTTTCGTTGATACAAGTAACTCTGTAACCGAATTTAATCCTTTCGCAGACAATGGGAATATTGTTAAAGCTTTTACGCTTAAAACTGTTTACATACATTTTTAAAGCTTCGATTATTTCATTTTCGTCGAAGATTCAAAATCCCCCAGACGTCCTCGATTTGATTGATCGTATATAAATTTATTAGTATATCAAAGCGTCGAAAATGTGATTGAAAGCGCGGAATTAAATTGTTCGACATTCCAATCGAAGCAATTGCATGCTTCGCAACGTCAAAGGTAACGCGGTAACCCCGTCTGAAGCGCGAGAATTGACCCTCAGTTTTTTTAATCGGTTTAAATTCGATTGTGCTTTGACGTATCATTTTCCGGTTTTGTTTGGAAACATTTGAAAATTATTAAAATCATGGTTCCATATGATACAGCATTACAAACCGTTGTATCAAAAGCTGATAAAATATTACAAATAATTCTAAGAAAAATCGATAAAACATCAATAGATCTAATAAAAATTGATAAATCATTATAAACATCTCTAACCCAAATTGACACAATATTAGAACTAACTCTAACACTAACAAAACACTACCAATACTCCTCCCAGAAACTGACAAACTATTAGTACCGATTGAATGAAGAATTGCAAAAATCGCAAAGGATTCAAGCCAGAACAAATCCACATCACAAATACATAAAATCGGGCAATCCGCCCTTTGAAAACGGAAGCCGAACCGCTCAGACGCGAAATTCTGTAGCCCCCGGCCACAGAAACGCTCCCCGATTGATCGGTCGACCATAATCTCGCGAGCGGTCGGCCTCGATCCCCAATTAACCATCAGTTCGCCGTCGGGCGGTGTCTCTGTTGCAGGTCCAGGTGATAGAAGGTAAATCGATGCAGGTGAAGAACCTGTTCGAGCTGAAAATCGAGGAGCTGCCTTGCCCGAAGCCCACCAGGGAGGATCTAATGGCCTCAGAACAGCCGTCGAGTCGCCACGAAAACGCTCCCGTGGGATCGTCCGGCTCCATCTGGTTCTCGTCCGCGTCGCGGCCGATCCATCCCGAGCTGCCCGTCCTGGTGTACTCGTTGGTCCTGCTTCTGTCGGTCCTCTTCACGTAGAATCGGCTACGCAAGCCGGACTACCCACTAAGCAGATCAGAAGGACGGCCCACGGACGAGGACGAGTACGAGGATGACGAGGGGGTGGAGGAGGACAGGGAGGAGGATGAGGATGACGACGATCGTTACCGGTATCCCGGAACGCGAGCATAAAATCGAACCCGGACCGGTGCACGGTATCTGTGTGTGTGTGTGTGTGTGTGTGTGTGTACAAGAGCGTGTACATCTGTTTCTCCGCGTATGCGTGTGTGTATGGTTACGGTATGCATGTGTGAGACCTGCGTACGCACGCAAGTGCGTGTGTATGTAGTAAGCGTTAATCGTCGCGTTGCGTTCTCAGCCAATAGACTAACCCGTTGACCGATCCGCGGGAGGGTCCGACGCGCAATTAGCGTTGTCCTCTGACCTAGAACAAGAGAAAAATCTAAAAGAACTAAGGAAACCTATATGCATAGCGTTATGCATCAAAAATCCTCCAAAGAAAAACATGGTAGAAGGGACTTAATGCATAGCGTTAAGCATCGAGCATCCTCCTGAGAATAAAGATAGACCCAAGGAAACAAAAGGACTCTCAAGGTGTACGATGCTAAGCATCTATCGTCCTATAAGCGACGACGGGAAACCGAACAAACCATGATAAAGCAACGGAACCTTCGAAATGCATAGCGTTACGCTTCTCATCGTCCTCTACCCAACTCCTTTGCTGTCCTTCGCGAAGAACACGCCAAGGCGACGCTACAGATCGTTGAAAGAAGGAATCTAGAACGCAGTCACGATCGAATCAACCTGACGCTCGCCAGTGCGCGTCATCATACTCTAACTGTTCCGCCCGGAAGAACCCGAGTTGATCCTGGGTTCGCCCGGAGGGGAGCGAGTCAGCTATAGCTCTCGACCTGGCATTCCGCGGGGCGAACACTCGCCAATACGCGTCGCCGGTTTTCTTTCTCGCGGCGAGGACGCTCGGTGTCGTGCGCGCGTCGCGTCGATTCGTCCATCGGGGATCGATGGATCCTCCGCAACTGGCGACGATCTTTCGATCAGGCCGCGCACGCTCAGGATCGACGGATCGAGGACACCTGCACCGCCGACGCGCGGAGAGATTCGGAAAGGATATCGGGCCGAGGACGGGCACGCTGTCTGAATACCTTGAACGAACGTTCGGATTCCATTTCCGTGGCGGATCGTTATCGCCGCACGTTTGTAGGACGCTCGCGACGTGTACTCGATAGGCGACGCTTTCTCCTTTTCGAGGCTTCGCGTTTGTTTCTTTGGGACCCGTGGGGCTTTGGTCGATCGTTTATCCCTGTTTGCATCTGACGGGGCATCTGGGTATCTTATTCTCCTTTTATTCCTTCTTAACTCGTTTTTTATATGTATAGAGATGTGTATAATTATTGGATTAATTGAGGATGGATTTCCGTTTATTGTTCCTTAGATACCGTGCCATTTAGCGTCTGGCTATCTTCTTTATCTGATCCTGTATTCTTTGAGGTCTATTTTCTTAAATATATTTCACTCTTCGTTCGATTTACAGATGCTGTTAGTTACCACATTAGATTTTTCTTTTATTTAGATACCATGGGAATTAGGTGCTTCCTAGTCATCTTTTCTCATTCCATCGAAACGTAAATGTTACGTAATTACTATCTTTGTTTCATTCTTTAGACGCCCAAGTTAGCGCTTTTTTCATTTTCTCATTCTATCGATATAAAAATGCTACATAACCGCAATATCATCTTCTCCCATTTTCTCTCCGTATTAATATACAAATATTTCATTGTGATTATAATAATTGATACATTGGATTCCTGCTGTTTCTCTAGGTACGCGAGTTGAGTGTTTCCTGGTTACTACAGCCATCCTTTCCGTACCGGAAACACTCCGGAACTCATCCATGTCGCGTCCACGACCGAACCTGTCGGAGTTTCTGCGGACCGTTCACGGTGCACGTGTGTGCGCGGTAGCACAAGGTTTTTCGCGAGTTCGTGGCAATTCCTCGGCGCGTATCAGTCCTCGCGAGGCTCACCCGTTCTCCGTGGAAACAAAGTTTCGCCGATCGGGGGACGATCCCACGCGAAGCTTAGTCAATTCCCCGTGCAATCGCGCTGCTTTTATCGTCGGTGAGATATCGTCTCGGATCGCGCGGCGGGAAAGTTTCTCGGATCGGAACCCGGGCAAGTCTTCGATCGCCGAACTCATGGCCGCGACAACCGACACCCGCTAAAATATCTTATTTTCACTTACTTTCGTTTATTTAAATACGTCGCGCGCGGAAATGAACGTTGGAAACGTTAACGAACGTTAAAAGGAAAGGTGAGGCGAGGTAAAAATTTTTATGTAAACTTTCATGGAAATTTGCGAAGAAATAAATTCACGATTTAATTATCGGTAAACCGTGGATTTTAATATTTTCAAATTTCCAATATTCCGACTGCCGGTAATTCTTTTATTTATATTTTTGTATAAAATTCTCGGAACGGTTGATCCAATTTCAATAATTGCCTCGATTCGTTTAACTAGTTAGAGATATTGCACGAGGCCTAGTCGAAAAATTTGGAAAATCATATTTTCCGTTTCCCACGGAGCGGGAAATTCGGCAACAATTTTCTCGCGTAAGATAGACACGGGGGATGCCATATTAGCAAAGTTCGTGAAATTTAATAAAATTATTGAAACGCGATTCCCCGTAGCCAGCGGGCA